TGTTACGTATATGGCTTGATTGACCATATTTAGATAGCAATGTACTCTTACATGAAGTAGAGATCAGCAATAAAAGTGTGTCTTAGAAAAATGGAAAAGCTTGGAGAGGTTCCTTGTCGAAACAACAAGTCACTTGCCAAGTTACTTGATGAGTTATTTGACAAGTTATGTGACGAGTTATTTGACGAGTTGTTGTAAAGCAAGAGCCTGGGTTATGTTTGTGTAGACGGGGCAAATAAGGCAGCGCATTTGGCCTTGAACTTTCGTGATGAATTAATTGAGCAATACTTTAAAATTGGATACAACCACGCAGAAATACTATCATGTCCTCTATTACTGCATGACGAGGAACTCGGTTTTCAACAGTTGAAAAGAATACTAGCCGATAGAGGCCTTAAAACACCGCAAAACATTTCCGACCTGAGAACTGTTATTGTCAATATTGAAAAAGAGCAACGAGGAAGGGGAAGTGATATTGGATATAGATCTGTTTCGCAAAGATTGGTCACAGATCGCAGCCTAGCGGTTTCAAAAGAGACTGTAGGGCACGCTCTCAGGTACATAGATCCTGATGGTGTTGATAGGCGGTTGAGGCATCGACTTCAAAGGCGTCAGTATAAGTGAAGAGGGCCAAATTTTCTTTGGCACATTGACGGGTATGATAAACTAAAGCCTTTTGGTTTTTCCATCCATGGATGTATAGATGGCTATAGTAGGCAAATAATGTGGCTCGAGGTTGGGATGTCTAACAATGACCCTACAGTTGTTGCACGTTATTTTGTCAAATGTATTATTGAGATGGGGGGCACTGCCCGTATTTTACGAGCGGACTGTGGTACAGAAAACAGCCATGTTGCTGCAATTAAACATTTCTTTTGAAACAATTCAGATGACTCATTTCGGGCAGTGAAGAGTTTTCTTTATGGCCAGTCTGTATCCAATCAAAGGATAGAGGCTTCGTGGTCCCAGCTGCGAAGGGGTTGTACTGATTGGTGGATACAGCATTCCAAAGAGCTTCAAGAAAGTGGCTGTTATTGTGATTCTAACGTGGTACATGTGGAATGTTTGAGGTTTTGCTACATGGACATATTAAGGGATGAACTGTACAGAGCTGCAAGGCTTTGGAACAATCATAGAATTAGACCATCAGTTAACCAAAAGTCGCCTGGAGGACATCCAGATCTTCTATTTTCACTTCCAGAGATATCAGGTACAAGGGAGTTTATGATTGAAGTGGACAAGGTTGACATCATTGTTAGTCAGCAACTTGTGTGAGACAGAAATAGCGAGAAACTACTTAACTGCACACCAGAATTTTCAGATCTTGCCAACATCATCATGCATGAAAAGCACTGGCTCATGCCAAACTCACCTGATGAAGCAAAGAATTTGTACAGTGCTTTGATTGACCACATTGAAAAGCTCTAAACTTTCGTTTTGAGTCTATATCATTCCCTAGGGTTTCCCATCACCAGTCAGCGTGCTTTCAAACGCCAAGAGCCTCGTTTCGATATTTTGATAGGACAACTATATAGCATGTATCAAAAGTGGTTTATTCCCAGTTTCTCTGACAGAATGTGAACCGTGACAACAACAACAACAATTTCAATATATTTTAAACAATGTAGTATGGCTGTTTACCTGAAAATAAATCGGCCCTTAAGCAACACCTTATGTTATGTTTTGAATAATAAACACTAATTATTAGCTACAGGCTAGCATGGCAGATGCTTCATTGACTTTTCACACACACAAGTAATCAGTTCGTATATTTTTCTGTAAAATGTCCATACACTATTGCTGTTAAGCAGGCTTTAAACACCAAAACCTCGATAACATTCTCTGGCAGACAAGTCAATAACCAGTTTTTAAAAAGCACTGCTAGTGAAAAAATTGTAAAGGTTTTAGTATATTCCTGTGCTTGGCTGAGCAGATTGTGATCTATATTTGTTAGTGAGATTTTGTAATATAGCAATCTTCCCATTATCTGACCATACAGTAGTACCCGTAGATAGTGACTCATGCACTGGATAAAGTTATCCAGCCTTTCATTACTTGGGACAGATCTTGCATATCTTGGAACTTTCTTTGAACAGAGTTTTTGAGGCAGACTACATTAGCAACTGTTAAGACAATGTTAAAGGTCCAACCCTCCTTTTCTGTCATGATATGTAAACGCTGGGGTCCCACAAGGGACTAAATTGGGTCCGATACTATTTTTAGTTATGGTGAATGAGCTTACTCCAACCACTTCATTCTGGAAGTGCGTTGATGACCTAACCATTGCTGAAGTTCTACCTCAAGAAGGTTCATCAACTATCCAAACCACCCTGGATGATATATCCACCTGGTGTTCTTCAAATTACATGAAATTGAACCCAAAAAAGTGCAAAGAACTCAGAATATGCTTCCTACGTAACCCTCCCACTCTATCACAGTTGACTATTAATAACACCTCAATCGAAGTAGTAGAAAGTCACAAGCTCCTAGGAGTGCTCATTCAGGATGATCTAAAATGGCGTAGTCACATTCTTAGCATTACAAAGAAAGCTGCTCAGCGACTTTATATCCTTCGTGTCCTGCGCCGCAATGGCCTTCCACCCAAGGATTTACTTAGTGTCTATACTGCTCTAATACGTTCTGTTTTGGAGTACGCATGCCCGGTATGGCATTCTAGCCTTCCATCTTACCTTGTGGACAATTTAGAACAGATACAAAGAAGAGCTTTCAGGATAATCGAACCACTAATTTCTTACAGAACTGCATGTAATGTTTTGAATTACCCCACACTGGAAGAAAATAGGGAACGTCTTTGCCTCGAACAGTTCAAGAAAATTAAAAACTCACAGTTGTCATCATTAATTCCACAGAAAAGACTAGACGCACACGGCCGTCAGCTGCGCTCCAGCAATAACTTGACTCTTTTTAAATGTAGGACAAAACGATTTCAAATAAGTTTTTTTCCCGCAATGACGTCAAAGCTTAACGAATTATCGCAATAGACTTATATCACATTTGTAATAATTTGTTAATAGAATCTTGTGAG